CCCCAAAACCCCAAAACCCCAAAACCCCAAAACCCCGTTCCAATTGTTCTCATTGAAACAGCTTATTGAAAATTTTGCAGTATTTTTGAGGACATAGCCAGTCTTGGTAATCAGAATAAGCCTTATATGCTCCTCTTCGGCAATTTTCATTTCGGAATCTTGTTTATTTGTATGTGAAAACCTTGTATAGGCGTTTGGTAATATGAACCATGGGAATTTTCTGTGCCCTCGACACAAGAAGATAAATTCTGCTTTGCTATATATAAACTATCAAAAAAGTACTTCTAGAAAATTTAGCAGCTAAATTTTTCAGATCAGATGACCACAAATCAGGATTGAGGCTGCTTACATCAGGGTTCACCCTGAATGAAGGTCTCAATGACTGTAACAGCTCTTTCGTATTTGTAAATTTCTGAATTGACTTGCTTTTATTTGTCTGTAAAGATAGTTTTCCTTTGGATTTCCAAAGGCAACGCTTGCTGATTCTTGAATTTACTTGAATTCACAAATATTGCAGTTGAAAGCATTGCCCTTTTAAGACAAGGCTTTGCCTCAAGCTGGATTATTCTCAGAATTTTCGAGCTTATCTCAGGCTTAGCAGTAGATTTACTCCTGTCAAGAGATTTTCCAGCCCGGAGGCTGCGAATAAGATCTTTTCTGAAAGGAAATTTCAGTTTTTTGTGTCCATTCGTAGTGGGCTTCTTCAGAGTCCCACTGCTCTTTGAGATTGAAAAGATGCAATCTTTTGTTTTATATTTAGGCTTATCTAAAGTCTTTAGAGTTGAGCTCAAAGATCTCATGTTTTGTGCATCAAGTTTGGTCTAAAGGTAAAGAAGCAAGTACTTTGTTTTGATTGATGAAATGCTTTAAATTATCAAGAGTACTGCTGAAGTTAGGGCTCTTCACAACCCGTTCCTTTGTACTTTTGTACATCATTTTGATCCTATAGATCAGGATTTCATCCTTACGGGCTTCGGACAGAGAGTTCCTTATCAGCAAAGGTCATAGATGATGCTTTCTGGCTAAGGTTCATGATGTCGCTTGCCGATAGAGTTCCTTTCCTCGAGGAGACAGATCTTTGAGTGTTATTTTTAGGTAAAATAGCCGTGGCTTAGAGTCTTCCTAATTTTGTAGTTCATCCTAGGAGGTATTAATTTGCACACTTGCTTTGTGATAGACTTTTTGAGAGGATCTTTATATTCAAAGTCCTGGTACGAGGGGACTACAGGAGGTTATCATAAAAGACCTTACCAGGATGGTTCTGTGTTGGATAAAACAGGTAATCTCCTGTCTATACTCCAAATGTATTGAGATTTTATTTGTAAAAATTAAGAGAATCTAGGAATCTACTTTTCCTCAGGGGAAAGCATGCTTACCTCTTCATCATCCTGAGTGGAAGAGGGGCTGGATAGTTCTATGTATTAGTAAAGAGTAATAGTACTCGGTTTTCTTGCTGAGTTCCTGAGTTTTGGCTTCCTTATATTTTTGGCTTTAGACACTATTGGGGTATTAAGCATTAGAAGCTTTAGAATGAGTAATTGGCTAGAAGATTGATTGTCAAATAGTTTAGTATTTGTATGTTTAGTAAGAACTGAGGGTGCTGGGTAGACTGCCAAGAGTTAAAGAAAAATAGAGAAGAGCTGAGAGGTAGTTAAGGATACAAGAAGGATGATTTGATGAAATTTAATGATTTTAAGGTTACTCCAAAACTACAGTAATTGAACTAATACTTTAATCTCCCCTCATCACCAACCTCTGCACTCCACCAACCACATCTAACCCCCCTCCTCACCCTCTCTTATCACCTACACTCTCTTCTCCAAACCTTCGCTTTCCCAGTCACATTCAGGCCACAATCATCCCAATACTCCATTAGCCCTATATATAATTCCAAAAATATCTCTAAAATCGGGGTTTTGGGGTTTTGGGGTTTTGGGGTTTTGGGG